TGGGAGGCTTGAGGGGGTGATGGGTAGCATGAAAAATAATACGACAAAGAGCTCTTCAACAAACAAAAGTCATAACAAGATAGACTACAGGATCTCTGTGAGAGAATGGTAGGAAAAGACATGAAAGGCTAAAGCAGTGAGTAATCAGAACTCGTCTACACAGTGTGCAATATTTTATTTCTAAGCACAAGACATATATTGTTTTCCATTCAAATTTAACCAATGCCAGGGCTTAATTTGTGCCAGTATTCAAAAGGATTCAATTCTGGCACTACTGAACAGAAGCATCAGAATACATATTGAATGCTGTATTATCTGATGAGGACTGAGCAAGGTTACGTGCCATCAAATCAACATGGATTCTTAGCAACCACTCTGATAGGGCGTCTCCAGGACAATCTGTCCCCAATCTCTTTCCATTCATTGCTGCTGTAATCCAGCCCGTCCTCATTAAGTGAGATCAGCCTTTGTCCTTCAACCTTTCCCCAGCACTATAGACCTCTCAAAAGAGCTAGTTTGGAGAAGACTCTTGAGAATATCAAGGATAGCCAAGGAAATGAACAGATTGTTGAACAAATCCATTGAGGCACAATGCTCAGAGCTTGGGCATTGTGCCTCGAGTGATTTATTCATTTTATTTGGTTGCTTTCTTGGTTATGCTAGGTATTCTCAAGAGTCTCCTCCAATACCAACATTTCAAATGCAAAAACATTTTTTCTATTCTGTTTCTTCAACGTTCAACTTTCACTTCCATGAAGTGTCTGATATCTTGAGTATCTGAACAGCTTTTCCAAGGTCTTCAATCCTACTGCCCACCTGTGGGGTATTTTTGGGCTGCTGGTTCCTCTGGGCATGGCTAGTCTAGTGAAGAGAAGGACCAGGGGAGACATGATAGCAATGTTCCAATATCTCAGGGGCTGCCACAGAGAGAAAGGGTGGGTTGGTTGTCAACCTATTCTCCAAAGCATCTGAAGGCCAGACAAGGAATAATGGATGGAAACTGACCAAGGAGAGATTCAACCTAGAAATAAGGAGAAATTTTCTGACAGTGAGAGCAATCAACCCATGGAACAAAAGATGCCTTGGAAGTTGTGGGAGCTTCATCACTGGAAGCTTTCAAGAAGAGACTGGACTACCATCTTTCAGAAATGATGTAGGGCCGTGATGGCGAACCTATGGCACGCGTGCCACAGGTGGCAGGCGTAGCCATATCAGTGGGCATGCAAGCTCAGCTTTGGGCCTTCTGGGCCCACCAGAAGTAGGGAAACAAGTTGTTTCCTGCCTCCGGAGGGCCTCGGTGGTGGGAGGTGGGGGTGGGAAACGATTGTTTTTCTCTCCCACCTGGCTCCAGAGCCTTTCTAGGAGTCTGGGGAGGGCAAAAACGGACTTCCCCACCTCCCCAGAGGCCCTCCAGAGGCCAGAAATGGTCCATTTTCCAACTTCCTATTTATAGGTTTCACCTATAAGGCTGTGAGATGTTTTGGGATTCCCATTTTCCTTACCACATTCCACAACTTGATATGGTCAATACAGTCAAAGGCCTTTCCATAATCAATGGGGCCCATAGTGACTTATTTTGATATCCTTCAGCTTTCTTGATGCATCACGCATCATCAATCGTGTATCTTTGTGTGTGTGTGTGCGTGCGCGCGCATCAGAGGTGGGTTTCAGCAGGTTCTGACCAGTTCTGGAGAACCGGTAGCGGAAATTTTGAGTAGTTTGGAGAACCGGTAGTAAAAATTCTGACTGGCCCCGCCCCCATCTATTCTCTGCCTCCCGAGTCCCAGCTGATCAGGAGGAAATGGAGATATTGCAGTAACCTTCCCCTGGATTGGAGAGGGAATGGAGATTTTACAGTATCCTTCCCCTGGTATGCCCACCAAGCCATGCCACGCCCACCAAGCCATGCCATGCCCACTAAGCAATGCCCACAGAATTGGTAGTAAAAAATTTTGAAACCCACCACTGGTGCGCATGCGCGTGTGTTTGCACCAGTGGTGGGTTCCAACAGGCGTTACTACCAGTTCTCTTTGTGCATGCGCTTCGCTCGCACGCGCACCAAACTTGCGCTGTGCGCAAGCGCATTAGATATCTGCCCAGCTGAGGTGAGGCAATCCACTCTGCTGGGCTAAAAAAGAAGAAATAAAGGTAGGAATAATGCGGGGGCAGCGGGAGGGGCCAACTCCCAGACAAAGAGAACTGGTTCGATGATGTCATATTGTCACCGCTACCGGCTCGGCCGAACCGGGCTGAACCGGGAGGAACCCACCATTGGTTTGCACGCGCACGCATGCACACACATGCCTTTGAATCAGACTTGACTGCCTGGGCAAGTCCCTGCAGTTTTCTTGGCAAGATTTTGGAAGTGGTTTGCCATTACCCGCTTGCTGGGGCTGAAGGAGAGTGACTGGCCCAAGGTCACCCAGCTGGCTTTGTGCCTAAGGTAGGAGGACTCATAATCTCTGGGTTTCTAGCCTGATGCTCAGCCAGTACACTATTATCTCAGCACTTATAAAAAGCCTATGTGACTGATCCTCTCTCTTTTCTGTGTGGGAAAAGAGAGAGGAGCCTTCTCTGTGGGAGCCCCTGCCCTTTGGAATGAACTGCCCCCAGAAATGCGTAAGATCTCCGACCTCCGTGTATTTCGCTGTGCCCTCAAAACCTTGTTGTTCCACCAGGCCGGGCTATCAATGTAAAGATTTTAATTGGTTTTAAATGTGGGATTTTAAATTTGGGGGTTTTATAATTGAGCCAATTATTTAATAATTTTAATAATTTTTAAATTTTGTCTTTGTGCTTTTAATCAGGCTGTACACCGCCCTGAGTCCTTCGGGAGAAGGGCGGTATAGAAATAAAATTATTACTATTATTATTATTATTATTATTATTATTATTATTATTATTATTATTATTATTATTCAGTTGCCAAGCATCCGAATTTTAATGGTGACCATGGTGATATTACAATGGACGTAAGTGTGAAAAAAAGTCACTTTTTTCAGTGATGTAACTTTGAACAGTCATTAAGTGAACTGTTGTAAGTGGAGGACTACCTGTATATATGCAACTTACAGCCTGAATAGATAAGAGGAGAGTTTACAGCCTTGTCTCACTCTTTTGCTGACCTGAAGCTAGTGTATTTCACCATGTTGCATCTGGACTTGGCTTCCTGACCTATTTATAGGTTTCACCTATAAGGCTGTGAGATGTTTTGGGATTCCCATTTTCCTTACCACATTCCACAACTTGATATGGTCAATACAGTCAAAGGCCTTTCCATAATCAATGGGGCCCATAGTGACTTATTTTGATATCCTTCAGCTTTCTTGATGCATCACGCATCATCAATCGTGTATCTTTGTGTGTGTGTGTGTGCGTGCGCGCATCAGAGGTGGGTTTCAGCAGGTTCTGACCAGTTCTGGAGAACTGGTAGCGGAAATTTTGAGTAGTTTGGAGAACCGGTAGTAAAAATTCTGACTGGCCCCGCCCCCATCTATTCTCTGCCTCCCGAGTCCCAGCTGATCAGGAGGAAATGGAGATATTGCAGTAACCTTCCCCTGGATTGGAGAGGGAATGGAGATTTTACAGTATCCTTCCCCTGGTATGCCCACCAAGCCATGCCACGCCACCAAGCCATGCCACGCCCACCAAGCCATGCCACGCCCACCAAGCCATGCCATGCCCACTAAGCAATGCCCACAGAATTGGTAGTAAAAAATTTTGAAACCCACCACTGGTGCGCATGCGCGTGTGTTTGCACCAGTGGTGGGTTCCAACAGGCGTTACTACCGGTTTCTTTGTGCATGCGCTTCGCTCGCACGCGCACCAAACTTGCGCTGTGCGCAAGCGCATTAGATATCTGCCCAGCTGAGGTGAGGCAATCCACTCTGCTGGGCTAAAAAAGAAGAAATAAAGGTAGGAATAATGCGGGGGCAGCGGGAGGGGCCAACTCCCAGACAAAGAGAACCGGTTCGATGACGTCATATTGTCACCGCTACCGGCTCGGCCGAACCGGGCTGAACCGGGAGGAACCCACCATTGGTTTGCACGCGCACGCATGCACACACATGCCTTTGAATCAGACTTGACTGCCTGGGCAAGTCCCTGCAGTTTTCTTGGCAAGATTTTGGAAGTGGTTTGCCATTACCCGCTTGCTGGGGCTGAAGGAGAGTGACTGGCCCAAGGTCACCCAGCTGGCTTTGTGCCTAAGGTAGGAGGACTCATAATCTCTGGGTTTCTAGCCTGATGCTCAGCCAGTACACTATTATCTCAGCACTTATAAAAAGCCTATGTGACTGATCCTCTCTCTTTTCTGTGTGGGAAAAGAGAGAGGAGCCTTCTCTGTGGGAGCCCCTGCCCTTTGGAATGAACTGCCCCCAGAAATGCGTAAGATCTCCGACCTCCGTGTATTTCGCTGTGCCCTCAAAACCTTGTTGTTCCACCAGGCCGGGCTATCAATGTAAAGATTTTAATTGGTTTTAAATGTGGGATTTTAAATTTGGGGGTTTTATAATTGAGCCAATTATTTAATAATTTTAATAATTTTTAAATTTTGTCTTTGTGCTTTTAATCAGGCTGTACACCGCCCTGAGTCCTTCGGGGAGAAGGGCGGTATAGAAATAAAATTATTACTATTATTATTATTATTATTATTATTTATTATTATTATTATTATTATTATTATTATTATTATTATTATTATTTTCCCCATCTAAACTTAAAATCCTGGCAAGGATCTCACCATCCTTTTCCTACTGTAAGGCTATTCAAAAGGAGCTTTAAAGATCCAGTAGAAATTAATCTCATTGTGCACAAATTCAGAGTTACTCTGCCTAACCAAGAAGGTAGGACTATTAATAGCTATTAGCAATGATTGCCGTATGTTACTCCAATGTGGTCTAAATGCCAGTGTCCGGGGAACAGAATCTAAATGATTTGTTGCACTGTTGTTCTTCTTTTTTTTAGCTTACAGGCTTCTCTGGAGCATCTGGATAACCATTGTGGAAAGAGAATGCTAAAGTAGTTGTTGGGTAAGTCCTGTTGCCTGACTTTACCATTGAGCCCCCCCTACTTGATAATGTACTATCCTGAGAGCTGATGCCATCCACAGTGCAATTTTGAGAGAGGCAAATTTCACATTATTTTAAAAACCTTTGGATGAATTAAAACGTATCAACCATTCTTAGTATGGTCCAATAGAGAAGGTGCTGGAGATCTAGGTTCTACTCCTTCTTCAACCACAGAAGCTCATTGGCTCACTTTGGGCCAGTCCCTCCCTCTCAGCCCAAAAACCAATCAAGAGTGGAGGGGAAGGTCCTGAAGTAGGAGTGGGGAGATCTGGGCTCTACTCTTTCTTCAACCACAGAAGCTTGATTGATTGATTTGGGGCCAGTCCCTCCCTCTCAACTCAAGAACCAATCAGGAATAGTGGGAAGGTTCTGGACCAGGAATAGGGAAATCACAATTCTTTTTCAACCACAGCACCTCATTGGCTGACATTGGGCCAGCTCCTCCCTCTCCAGAGCCAATCAGGAGTGGTGGGGAAGGTGCTGGACTAGGAATAGGGAAATCACAATTCTTTTTCAACCACAGCACCTCATTGGCTGACATTGGGCCAGCTCCTCCCTCTCCAGAGCCAATCAGGAGTGGTGGGGAAGGTGCTGGACTAGGAGTGGGGAGATCTGGGTTCTAGTTCTTCAACTGCAGCAGCTCATTGACTGACTTTGGGCCAGCTCCTCCCGCTGGTGCAGGCTGGAATGGAGCAGCAGGGAAGGTGCTGAACTAGGAATCACAAAAGTTCTTGGTTCTGGACTCCTGTCAGCCATGAAAGCTCATTGGCTGAATTGGCTAGCCCCGCCCTCTCAGTCCAAGAGCCAGTAGTAGGGAAAATGCTGGACTGGGAGCAGGGAGACCTAGATTCTAGGTCCCCCTCAACCATAGAAGCTCTTGAGGAGACTCTGGGCCAGTTACTTTCTCCCAGCCATACCTATCTTGCCGCTGTCACTTTTGTAAAAACATGTCGGTTACTAAGTGCCTGAGTTGGAGAATGTAACTGTGGCAATGCAGAGATGGTTGTTAAGTGTGAGGAACTATTGTAAGTTACTTTTTTCAGTGACACTGTAACTTTGATGGCTAAGCATATGGTTTTAAGTTGAGAATTACCTGCACACAGATATGATTTTTGATTCATGCCATTTTTAATGCATTTTATTAGTGACAATAATAAATGTCTTACAGAATGCTTTGGTTAAATACAGGTAGTCCTCGACTTATGGCCACAATTGAGCACAACATTTCTGTTGCCAAACACGACACCTTGCTAAGTGAGTTTTGCTCCATTTTACAACTCGTCTTGCAATAGTTAAGTGAATAATTGCAGTTGTTAACAGAGTTGTTAAGTGAATCTGGCTTCCCCACTGACTCTTGCTTGTCAGAAGGTTGCAAAAGTTGTTCGCATGACCCTGGGACACTGCAACCGTCATAAATATGAAGCAGTGGTCAAGTATCTGAATTTTGATCACGTGATCATGAGGGTGCCGCAACTGTTGTGTGAAAAATGATCACAAGTTACTTTTTTCAGTGGCGTTGTAACTTCAGTCATTAAACAAATGGTTGTAAGTCGAGGACTACCAGTATTGGTTAATTTTCTGTACAATTGCTCACTTTTTCAGCATTTTATATTCTATACTTTATATATGGTGCATGTTTTAATGTTATGGGTTTCTTTTTTGAGTTCCTGATTTTTTACTGTTGCTGCTATACATCAGCCGGTCATATCTGGCCATACTTTCATCTGATTTAGCATGGTTCTTTCTTGCAGCTTTCCACTCTATTGTTTCTGTTTTACCAAATGCCATTTTGAACCATCACTTAAATCCAGATTAATGTCATAGCTTGATGCGTCACACTGGCCACGCCCACACCGGGTTTAGCAAAGGGAAAAAGTTGTGATATGTCATGTGACGACACCGTGACGATGCGAGTTTGACACCCCTGCCCTAAAAGATTTCAATTTGTTTTTCAGCTGAATTGTATAGCTTATACTGTATGTTATATTAACAGTGGAAAAAATTCTAAAGTGACTTATCTTGGTGATTTTTTTACATTTCAAAAACCTGGCATTTTAAAGGTGAGGATAGATTTTTGATATCCACTGTATATCAAAGATTGCTTAACCTGTTGGATCTCTGGTTGGTGTGTAGTTCATATCTTTGTTGGAAAACTCTGCCAATTCAATGAATTTCAAGAGGCAAAACTTGCAAAGGGCTTTAGAAATCAAGCACGGAACACATCGCTTTAAAGTAACAATGTTTATTTACACAGAAACACTCTGCACAGTGATCGTGGTAGAATCTTGTCACAAAAATCAAACTTTGGGTGCAGTTTCAACATTTCTTTGGAAGCATATAGTAAAGCTGTGCCTTAAATCAGGGGCAACTATAGGCAACTTTATGACCTGTGGACTTTGCCTTCCAGAATTCCTGAGCCGGCATGGAATTCTGGGATTTGAAGTCCACAGGTCATAAAGTTGCCATAGTTACCCGGGGCCTAGACTTTACCAGAAAAGGAGCATGTTTGAAATCCCTTGCCTAAATCATCTTAGCCTAAGAAAACTAGTATTCCACACAATAAGCTGGTAGTTTCTAGTCAAGTATTTACAAGAGTCAATTTCCACATGGAGCACACCTCATTTCTCATATAGGGACTTTTACACATCCAGACAAGTGGTATCTTCCAACGTGCAAAGTTTTACTGCTTGCTAAAAATTACAGACGATTTTCACACAGCAATGGGCTGTTCTCACCCTTCCTCACTCAAGCATTTTTTCACCCTATGGTAAAAGCTGAGATTTTTTTTTTTAAGCAAAAAGAAAAACAAAGACATCATTTCAAAATGAACCCTCACCCCCACAAATCATTAATAAGCACACAGTCCTTAAGAAGCAGAATATTCACAATATGACTCTTATGGCTTGACAATGATTAAAATAAAATAACACAGCAATTTGATTTTTTATATTTCTGAGCGTGTAAGAAAATTCACAAACCAGAATAAGAACAAGACCTATAAATCAGAATTTGGATGGAAGGCTTCCTAAAAAGAAAGGTGTTCTGATTTATCTTTCATTGACAGGAGATTAACCTGTTAAATAATTCACTAGAGCTTTAAAAGATAGTCTTTTTTTTTAAAGTAGCAAGCAATTCTGCAGTGCTTTTTGGAATTCTCCAATTTAGAATGGATACAAAGGTGGTCCTTTACTTAGGACCCCCCCCCCAATTAGGATAGATGTTGTTATTAAGTGATGAGGTCATTAAGTGAGCCATGCCCAATTTTACCTTTTTTGCCATGGTTATTAAGCAAATCATGTAATTGTTAAGCAAATCTGGCTTCTCCCACTGACTGTGTGTGTTGGAAGTTGGCTCGGAAGGTGGCAAATGACAATCACATGCCACAGGGATGCTAAAACTGTTGTAAATACATGGCAGTTGCCAAGTGCCCAAATCACAATCATGTAACTGTGGGTACCTATAAGTGCAAGGACCTTTTTTCTCACTTTTTCCCAGCACCTTCATAAAACTGAACACTTGTTAAATGGTCGGTCGTAAGTCAAGGACTACCTGCATCACTGAACCCCTGCCCTGTTGAACCCCTGTATTAGTCAAGCAACCAACATCATGGCAAGAAATTATTGTGTAGGTGATTTTCCTTTATTTGAGGGGACTCCAAGCAGTATTAAATAGAATAAGGTGAAGGGGGCAAAAATCCTTCACTCCAAAAGGGAAAACAGTATCAATTATCAGAATGCTGAGAACCAAGTAGGAATTTCCCCATGTCAAGATAGACTATGGGAGAATCAGCTTCAGAAGTCTTCAGACTGAATGAGTGTTTTTGTTTTTTTTTAATCAGGGCAACCTGGTCTGCCGAAATATGGGATAGAGCCAGGGGTGGACTGCTGGAGTTTTGCAGGGGTTCGAGAGAACCTCTAGCTAAGATTCTGTGCAGTTCAGAGAACCCCACAAATCCCATTCCTGGCTGGCCCCGCCCACCCCTCCCCTCCCAGGAGTCCCCACACGGCCCGTTTTGGATGCATGTAAGTGCAGAACACCCACAGAGGCTCGGGGGGGGGGGGGGAAATGGGCCTACCGGAAGTTTGAGAAGGCCAGAAACGGGCTCGTTTCTGGCCTCTACAGAGGGCCTCCAGAGCCTGGGGAGGTGTTTTCGCCCTCCCGGAAGCTCAAAAGAAGCCTCTAGAGCCCGGGAAGGGCAAAAATGCCCCCCTCTCCCGCTGTAGTGCAGGAGACCGACTAGGCCAAGCCCACCATGGCCACACCTAACCAGCAACCGGGCAGAGAACCCCCTGCTAAAATTTTTGAAGCCCACCCCTGAACGGAGCATACTGTTTCCACTTTCACTCCAAATCCAGGAGCCTTCGCAGGCAGTCGCTTTCGCGACAAACTATTTTTGTGTTAAAATTTTATTTCTTTGTCGGTAAGTATAAATTTAACACTTCAGACTCAACATTTTGGGGATGAACTTGGTGAGATTAGAACATAGGATGCTCAGAGGAAAGCAGAAAACTCACCAAATGTTATTTAGAATAAAGTTTTTTTCCCCCCTTTAAATACTTACCTCCTTACAGAAAGCACCAAGGATCTCTCATTTCAACCCTGAGCTAGAAATATCCCCCTTCTTTCCAGGCCTCGCTTAACCAACAGATGGTTATGAGGATTTTCTTGTTTTTCTGTAGCTTGCACGTGGTTTGCAAGACTAAAGGACATTAAACAACCAGTCACCCTGAACCACATTTTACGGCATCAGATTATTAATTTCAAACCTAAATTATAATCATGATAAAAACACCAGTAACCTTGTATGAGCAGTTTCAGATCCTTTATATCAATAAGAAGTTTGATTTCCATCTCTGTTGGTTAATCCCCAGCAATTTGAAGAACTGAAATAAATTCTTAATAGAAACACATTAATAGATGTGTATATACATATATATACATATACATAGATATGTATATGTAGAAAAAAAAATACACTATGTTACATTTTGCACAATAGAGTGGCCAGATTGGGAATGGTGGTTTGAAGCAGGATTTTGAAACTGACTTTTATTTCTATTTATTCTATTATTTATTATCTATTTATTTATTGCTGTTTAAAAAATAACCTGTTAGTCTGGGTTCTGCCAATTTGAAAAAGGTTTTCCAGGGTGGCTTTACTGCAGCTGGGAAATATGTAATTCCAAAAACTGAATGCCTGGATTAATCAAAGCAAGCATTCAAGTATATATACCCAATTTGCACCACTTGTTCTACAAAGGTAGACTCCAACCGGAGTATAGCAACAGGATTCACACATCACACATAATAGTATTTATAGGGCTAAGGTTTAGTAGATTGTATGAACTCAGCCACTGGGTTTTGTTTTGTTTTTTGAACCACGGCTGACAGTGTGATGTTATAGGCCCGTGATGGCGAACCTATGGCATACGTGCCAGAGGTGGCACACAGAGCCCTTTCTGCTGGCATGCGCACTGTCACCCCAGGTCAGATCCCTGTGGCGTTTCTTTCGTGAACTTCTGTTTCCCTGCAAACGACGAAACAGAAGCTCACGAAAGAAAAAGATCTTACCTCTTGCCGTGCTGCTGCAGTGGTGAAATCCTACCGGTTCGCACCGGTTCGGGTGAACCGGTAGTGATAAAAGCTACCAGTTGGTCCGAACCGTATTTCTGACGATCAGCTGTGCCATGCAATTTATATTCGCTAGAAAGCAGGAAATCTTGCTTTCTAGTGAATCTAAATCGCGCGGCCCAGCTGTTCCCCCCTCACTGTTCTATTTATCTTGTTAAGTGTCCTTTTCCCGTGCGAAGCGCGCATTTGGCATGAAATGTGCATGCAATGTGTGTTACGCACGCACTGCGCAAGCACACACATAGCGCATGTTTGGCATGCAGGCACAGGCAGTGAACCAGTGGCAAACCGCGGATGATTTCACCACTCTGCTTTGGGTTTTGGGATGCCCTGCCTCCTGCCGGCCAGCTGGTCTTTGGGTCTCTGCAACGCATACGTGCATGTCCATGCATGTGCATGTCCATGCATGCGCATGCACACTTTTGTTTGGGCATGTGCGTGTGTGCAGTTTGGGCACTCGGTGTCTAAAATGTTTGCAATCACTGTTCTAGGTGAATCCAGCAGTTGTTTTGTTCTCTTAACTATAATTTAACATGACGTAAGAATTCAGACACCGTTCTCAAAAATGAGCTCGAGTTTCCATAGCTGCAGAAATTAAAAAACAAAAAGAAAAACCCTCTCCCTCATTAGCTGTAAGTTTGCTCCAAAAATAGGAAGTCTGGGACAGAGGAAATGGGCTGCTATCCTGAAAACACACGACCTGTATGGAGGTGCTGCTTAATGGAGCCACACTTAATTAAGCCAGATGGAAGCTGCTCTCCTGCTCTTCCTTGATGGAGCTAATTGATGGCCTTTTTGTCACATTGTGCTTACTTTTAGGGCCCACTGATCTATATATAGCATAATATTAAAAGGCAACAGCTGCAAGGGCAGATAGTGCAGAGTGCAACAGAAGAGAATTGTGGGAGAGGAACTCTTGCATTTTCTTCCCACACAGTTACCCTTCCCTTTTTTTTTTGCAGACTCCATTTCTTCTTTTTTCAAAATCCAACATCCTTAGGGTTTTTTTTCAATTTAAAACAAAAAGGCTATCGGTTATCGGAAGGATCTGTGGGAAGTGGCTGAGCCACAAAGGGCCAAATGACAGAAAAGGAGCATTGCACCATCACAATGCAAGCTCCGCCCCTTTTATAAGGGCATCACATGCAAACACACAAAAAAGGCGGAGCTTGCCTTTGAATACAGATAGTCCTCGACCTATGATTGGTTGTTTAGTGACCGTTTGAAGTTACGATCTACCTGAGAAAAGGGAACTTACGACACAGGTACAAAGTTCCTATGGTAGCCCCCCCCCACCCCCCCCCCCGGCAAAATGGTGTGAATGAGTTTTAATGTTTTTAATTCTTAAATGTTTTTTATAATGATTTTAAATGCATTATGAGCCGCCCTGAGTCTTCGGAGAGGGGCGGCATACAAATTGAATTAATAAATAAATAATAAATAATAAAATGAGGTGACCACATTTTCAGCACTCAGCAACATGGCTGCATTAAATGGCCATTCGTAGTGTCCTGCAGTCACATGACCTTTACAATGGCTTTGCTTAAAACCAGCAGTTACTTCTTGTTTCAGCAAAACCAAGCCCATTGATTCGCTTAACAGCTGCGATGTTCGCTTAATGACATGGCATTTGTTTTACAACCCCCATGTTCATTTAATGACCACTGCGAAAAAATATAAAATTACACTTTACCAGTATAAATATACCAGTAGTCCTCGTCTTACGAGTATAGCGGAGCCCATAATTCCCATTGCTAAACACGACAGTTGTTTAAGTGAGTTTTGCCCCATTTCCCAACCTTTCTTGCCACAGTTGTTAAGTGAATCACTGCAGTTGTTAAGTTCGTGGCATGGCTATTAAATGAATCCAACTTCCCCACTGACTTTGCTTGTCAATAGGTTGCAAAAGTGACCTTCTGACGGGAACACGGCAACAGTCATAAATACTTGCCAGTTGCCAAGTCACACAGGATGATGGGGATGCTGCAATGGTCGTTAAGTGTGAAAAATGGACATAAACTACTTTCCTTGGTGTTGTAATTTGGAATGGTCACTCAATGAATGGTTGTAAGTCAAGGATTACCTGTAATGGGCAGACTCCGTTATAGCAAAAGCAATAGCACTTAGACTTATATACTGCTTCACAGTGCTTTTACAGCCCTAAGCGGTTTAGAGTCAGCCTATTGCTCCCAACAATCTGGGTCCTCATTTTATCCAACTCGGAAGGACGAAAGGCTGATCAACCTTGAGCCTAATGAGATTTGAACTGCCAAATTGCAGGTAGCCAGCAGTCAGCAGAAGTAGACTGCAGTAACTGCCCTCTAACCACTGCGCCACGGTGGGTCATAATGGTTGTAACTATGGTTGTAACGCATGGGCTACCTGTACTGCGATGCCCATTTTGCCATTTTGATGAAAGCCTCTGATCCTGCAGATCCCTCTGATTATTGTGTTCAGGTGGGTTACGGGAGTTCACGCCCACTTGCTTCATAAATCCAAAAGAACATGGCTAATATAAACCTACTGTAACAAGAGCCATCTAAATTATGAGTTGGAAAGATAAAGGTCACGAACAAGATACTCAATTGATCTGGAGAGTTTGCAAACCCACAAAATCTCTTTTTTTAAAAAAAAGTATATATATTAATATTTGCACTATAAATGCCAGGCATTTTATAGTGTTAGCTGTTTAAAGATATCCAATGATTCAAGTAAGAACATTTAAAAAATGGGCTTGATATAATATTCTATATCTGCCTATTTGGCAGCAAGCCCTAGGAGATAGGGCTGCCTTGTGACTAAGCGTGCCAAGAATTGAATTTAGGCATTTGAACCTGAAGCAAATGCAAAGGGGAACAAAGGTACCAACCTCAGGCAGTTCAGTTCTATATAAACCATTCCCATTAGTGCAAAGATAAGCTGCTTAGCTGACCACCGGCATCCAAATTTATTTTAACAGCAGCTTTATTAAAAATTGTTCATTCTTTTTAATTCCTTCCTGCCTAAATCAGGACACCATCTAAAGAACAGTCTGTAGAGATTCTCAGTCATCCAGGTCATGGTTGTTTGAAAAGTGCTTTTTCAGGAGGCAACTGGACTTTCTTATTTTTTCTTTTGAAGATGTTTCGCTTCTCATCCAAGAAGCTTCTTCGGTTCTGACAGGATAGTGGGGAATGGAAGGATTTATATTCCCTGCAGAAAGCTGGTAATTTGCATCCTTTTAGAGCAATAGTGGATTTCAATTTAGTTTGCTACCGGTTTGCTTGTGTGCGCACATGTGCAGAAGTGTCCGGGCGAGTGGGCGGAACTTCCTGCCGCCGCCACCGTTACCGCTTCACCTGATCCAAGGAGAACCGATAGCAACCCAATACTGTTTTAGAGGGTGTGGGAGTAGGAATGGATTTCCAGAGGAAAAAATGGCAGACTACAGGAACTAGGAGCACTACTCAGGCGACCCTGAGGACACAGATAAACCTCCAAGTGCTTCAATGACCCTCTAAAAGGATGTCTGCAAGGAATATAAATCCTTCCATTTCCCCACTATCCTGTCAGAGCTGAAGAAGCTTCTTGGATGAGAAGTGAAACGTCTTCGAAAGAAAAAACAAGGAAGTCCAGTTGCCTCCTGAAAAAGCACCTTTGGGACATCTAAAGAACAACTCAATAGAAGAGTCTTTCAAAGACTAAAGAGACCTTTCTAACAGAGTATTTTTTCCAAATGCAATGAAGTTAACATTTTTTTGTCAGTCCTCTAAGAAATCTGGCAAGCTGCAGTCCCAACATACCTCAAGGGGTACCAGGTTGAAGAAGGCTGGTCAACAGGACTATTTGCTTGTTTCCATTCTGAACTGGGAAACCAGATTTAAACCTTGCAGAGACAGAAAACCTGACCTATCTCCTTCGTCAGTCTCAGATGCTGGAGAAACTTTAAACTTGCCAGAGAGAAATGTGACATATTTACTCATTAGAGTTTCGTGCTGCTGGATCTTTCAAAATGAAGACCTAACGTTTTTGTGGAGTTTTTAAAGGGTGGAAAATGAAAAAGGAATTGGAAGTGAGGAACTTTTGAATTTAAATTATATTAGTCTCCCATGGAAAAATTAAAGAACAATCAAAACTCGGACCACACGTTTTCTGAATAGTTTTTATCCCAGAGCTATAATTGCACTCAACAATGAACTAAAGGGCCACCATCAGTGTGAGCTGTTGGACAGCATTACTTGATCTGTTGTGTGGATGTTTGGGTGGTTCAGGGGCGGGAAATTTGTGGTGGGTGAGTGGGGTGTTTGGGGATTGTTATGTCTGTTGGGCCTGGTCTTTGGGTGTTAAGTGAATTTCGTTGTGTGGGTATACTGTGTATATACATACAATGACAATAAAGTTAAACTTTAAAAAGTGAGCGCTTTTAAGCAATATTTGGACAACATGAGAAATTGATTACAATAACCCACCCACCTCAGTGTGGTACGGTCAATATGTCACACTGTTTACTCATTATTTCAATTTACACACTGGTTCTCTATTCACAAAACACTCATGGGGGACTACAGCCTCCATCACCCCAACTAACAAGATAATTGCTGGTGATGGTTGGGGATGATGGGATTGGCCTGCAGCATATCTGGATAGTACCTGGGTAGAAAAGTTTAACCTAAGCAAAACAAAGTATTTGAACTATGATTCACCAAAGACAAATTCCTTGTGTGTCTAATCACACTTGGCCAAAAAGAATTCTATCTATTTGTTATGGGGTGGGGGCTCCTCCCTGCTTTGGCCTCCCTTGGTTGCTCAGTCAGGAGGCCCAGCCTAGATGGCCAAAAGCAAGGCATGCTGGGATTTGTAGTTTTATAATGCCTGGATGTCACAGATCCCATAGGCCTGGCTTTAGTTTCCCTATCTGGGTTTAAGACAACTGCCTCCACTCCCATCCAGGACCTTTGCGGCCTTCCAGGTGTCGAAGCAGCAAAGAGGAAAGATGGGCTGTTGCTAGGCAACCATACACAACCTGTGGATGACATCAAGGTCCCAATTCCAGAACAGGATATCAGTCTGCAAGATTGGCATATCTGAAGGTGGGAGAACCTAGCCCCATGTAACGTGATTGGTGTTGAATACTGCAAAGCAATGGAAGCAGACATCTCCAAAGCAGGCCCCGGGAGTGGGACAGGGACATCCTTTTCTGCTGGGTATCAGCTCATTTGCTCCAGGTAGGTGGACAGTAGCAGCTCAGGAGGCAAAAAGACAGTGCGTTTGTTGCTAACCTTCATTTGGCGTTTTCCTTCGTAGTTTGAACCTGAGGGCAGAGATTTTCAAAAGAAAGCCACATGTTAAAAGCCATCACATGGCTACAGATGTCCCCTGCCACCTGCTTTCTAGTGGGGCAAAGAGTGTAATCATTCAGAGAAGGATGCCACCAAGCTGGTGGCTGCAGATCTACTCCACTGTCTCATATATACATGCCCCCTAGACAGACAGGGCATCTCCATATATATGCCAATTTTAAAAAATACAGAACCCATTGACCAGATTATGTACACTATTTATTATATAGTGTGCACACTCCATATCACATTGTCCAGTTCCTGTATCAATGTTTCTCAATCTTGCCCCAGGTTAAGATGTGTGGACTTCAACTCCCAGAATTCCCCAGCCAGCATGCTGGCTGAAGAATTCTGAGAATTGGAATCCATGCATCTTAATGTAGCCACAATTGAGTAACTTCAAAACCAAGAAAGACACGTGGAGTTACTCCAAACTAGTTTTCTTTATTGTTCCTCACCTACAGACAGAATTCTTGCCAAACTAAAGCAAACTACTAGCATTGATAAAGATACACTCTGAGAACTTTCTAGGGAGGAGCTGTCTTCAGCCTCTTCCTCCCAACCAAACTATCTAAACTTCACTACTTCTTGGTCCTCTGGAATGCGGCCCCTCCCTCCTGGGAATCCAGGCTACATTCCACCCAGTGGTGGGATTCAACCGGTTCGCACCAGTTCGGCCGAACTGGTTGTTAAATTGCTGGCTGGCCCCTCCCCTCCCTGCCCCTTCCAAAAGTCCCCACGTGCCCCATTTTGGTTCCAGGTAAGTGCAGGGCGGCCTACTAGGCCCAAAATGGAGCACCGGGGGGGAGGGTGCAGCGCGCCCCCCTCCGTGGCCCATTTTTGCTCCCATGGGCCTGCAGGGAGGCCTACTAGGCCCAAAATAGGATATGGGGAGGGGTGCAGTGCCCCCCCCGAGGCTCATTTTTGCTCCCAGGGGCCTGCAGGGAGGCCTACTAGGCCCAAAATGGGGGGTGGAGGGGCGGTGCGCCTCTCCCCGCAGCCCGTTTTTGCTCCCAGGGGGGTGCAGGAGGCCGAGTGCTGCCTGTCACACCCCCTGGCCACGCCCACCATGACCACGCCCACCCTGTCTGTCATTAGGGCGGAGAACCGGTTGTTAAATTATTTGAATCCCACCACTGATTCCACCATATAAATACTGCGGTAACACTTCATTTAGTTTTGCAAACGTGCCATGGGAAGAAGATGCAACAAGAATTCACCAGCTCCTTTCCTAAAGATAATGCATGGAGAAGTGAAGGTACACGGGGGATCCAAATTTGCAAGATAGTGGGTGTGACCTTGCAAGAAAAAAACCACCTCTTTTATATGTGTGTGTGTAAAAGGGGCAAGGTTTCGACCAGGTTCCTTGCCAGAATCTTGCAAATTCAAAATCACCCCCATGGATATCTTGATGAGCCTTATAGAGCCAAGTCCTTTCTCCACTCTCAAATGCCCTCTTGCATGCTAATAGTGACCAAGTCTGTTACTATCCAGGCTAATGACATACCTGGTGAAGCTACAGCAAACAGTCAATAACCATTTGCGCAGGTTAGAGTAGCAGTTTCTGGCAGCCCTCTACCTTTCTTTCCAAATGCTGAATAATTGTTCTTTTTTAAAACTACGCAGAAAAAACATAAAATATGCAGTGGCTCAGTTGAAATTGCAGCCACTGCAGACAGGTTGTGGGAGAAAGTTATCTTTCTTACCCATACATGGGGTGGGGAAGAAAAAAAACAAAACAGGGCTTGAGGGTGGGGAGGAGGAGGCTTAAATTAAAATATCTGCAGTGTACTGGCTATAGGGCGGCAACTTAATAATCCATATGCTCTGACTGCTGAAAATCTGCAGGTAACCAGAAAAACTTAAACCTATATTACCTTCCTTTTTTAATATTGCAGGATATGGTTGAGCAGGACAACATAGCAAAATTTCATAAAACTCTTAAACCGTTTGGGTGTAAACCAGTAGTGAAATTCAAATTTTTTTATTACCAGTTCTGTGGGCGTGGCTTGGTGGGAGTGATGTGGCTTGGTGGGCGTGGCAGGGGAAGGATACTGCAAAATCTCCATTCCCACCCCACTCCAGGGGAAGGATACTGCAAAATCCCCATTCCCTCCCCACTCCTAGGGGAAGGATATTGCAAAATCTCCATTCCCACCCCACTCTGGGGCCAGCCAGAGGTGGCATTTGCTGGTTTACCAAACTACTCAAAATTTCCACTACCGGTTCTCTGAACTACTCAAAATTTCCGCTACCGGTTCTCCAGAACCTGTCAGAACCTGCTGGATTTCACCCCTGATGTAAACCTGATTCTCCCTTTTCAGCATTAGTGCCTACACAGCCTGGTAACTACAGCCAATAAGCAGTCCAACATACCATGCAAAGTTGGACACAACGTTAAGGAGGCCAATGTAATCTGGATCTGGCCTGTTGCTGGAAGATCCCTGTTTTTGAATGTTACCATTCACTGCTAGCATCCCTTGAGGTAGATCTGGTCCAAAATATCCACAATAGCTTCCAATACACCACAGGTACGCTTTTTACAGCCGCCTTCAGTGGATCCCCCACTGATCACACACCCCGTTAAATATCTATATATTTTGTGGCTGCAGAAAAGGAATACTTATCTCTGCTTCCTACCAGCATCTTTGATAGAAACTGCCCCAGGAATCATAAAACAATAGGACAGCATGTCCATTTCCAAAACTAAACAAAAATATCTTGGAAGAAGGTCATGCTGCTTCCAAGATGGTATCTCCAATCTATGAGAGAGGCCAGTTTTTAATCCTTCCATGAAGTTGCGCTTCGCTTTATTAATTTTGAAATTCTGCTCTTTATATTTATGGAGACATTTGCTAGATAGCCAAGCTAGCTAGAAGCTATATTGGAACTATTGTATTTTTGCTACAATTCTAATCAAGAATTTGAGAATCTTCTTACTAAACGTTTGCACTGTCCCTTTAAATGGGTATTGAAAAATGACTTGATTAACCATCTGCCTGGAAGGATAGATTGTAAACTGGGAGGCAGCTCCTTGTGGCCTAGCCCTTACTGGTTGGGAGAGATAGCAATAAACCAACAGCAAGTAAGCTTAAAAATATAAAAATACACATGTATATTAGAATGTAGTTACTCACTGGCAGAGACGAGGTCCATGTACTGGCAGAGGGCATGAAGGAGCAGCCGTTCAAAGCTGCAAGAGAGAGAGAGAAAATGGCATTTAATAGCTCCACTTAGGAATCCGTGGAGGGGAAACCCCTTCTGATAGCTTTCATCTTATTTGCACATGAAGCACATTTATCTGGGAAGCCTGGGAGATGGCAAAGGATTCTCTTCCCAGAGAGATCAGACCAGGTGAAGAAACGTAACAGTATACTTTAAGTACACTTACTCACTTTAAGTGACTAACTAGAACAGTGGTCCTCAACCTGTGGTCCGTGGGCCTCTGGGGGCCTACAATGTTGTCACAGGGGGTCCACGAATATTTGATGCAGGCTAGTACTTCTCGAGGCTACTTAAATCTCGAGTTTAACTTTTGGGGATCCATTGCCACAAAAGGTATTTAAAGGGGATCCATGGTGAAGAAAAGGTTGACAACCACTGCCCTAGACAATACACATTCGAAGTTTCTATAGTAATTATCACCGATAGTGGAGTTAATTCTAACTCTAAGGCAGTATCTTTGGGACAGATGTAGAAGAATGCGTTTCAACGTTGGTAACTTTTAACATGTACGGACTTCAACTCCCACAATTCTGCAGCTGGGTGGTTGTTACAGATTGAAAAAGATTGCTTTAGAACACCTGACAGTTGCCTGGGGAAGTAGCATTTCTTGAAAGAATAGGAAGAAACAGATAGGGGCACCTCTAAGCCTGGCACCCCAGTTGTAGCCTTTGAAAAGGTGATCTAACGCTCGAAATGGTTTGTACTTTATCTCTCTCATTCTCAGCCAATATAAAGGATAGGGAGCAAATGAGGGATAGGGAGTCTAAAACAGCTGGATAATGCTACCTTATCGGTCATAGAGCTAGCTGATTAATTCTACTGCTCAGTCTCAAGCTTGTTGTATCTCTTGCCTGCCAGTGCATTGTGATTTGGCTAGTACAGTTCAGCCTTTACAAGAATGAAACTGTCAGGTGGTGCCTGCACAGACTTGGAAGATTGTCGTAGTGGTGCAGTGGTTACAATGCAGTATTAGAGGCTGACTCTGCCCACTGCCAGGAGTTCGATGCTGACTGGCTCAAGGTTGACTCAGCCTTCCATCCTTCCGAGGTCGGTAAAATTGTTGGGGGCTAACCTAATGAGAAGGAAGGACTCACAGGAGAAGAGCCTAATGCTGGGAACGATTGAGGGCAAAAGAAGAAGGGGATGACAGAGAATGAGGTGGCTGGAAGGAATCACTGAAGCAGTAGGCGTGAGCTTAAATGGGACTCCAGAGGATGGTAGAGGACAGGAAGACCTGGAGGAACGTTGTCCATGGGGTCAGACACGACTTCGCAACTAACAACAACAACAAACTCAGTAAACCGCTTAGAGAGAGCTTGTAAAGCCTTGTGAAGCGGTATATAAGTCTAAGTGCTATTACTATGGCTATTGCTATTTTCTAGGGAAAGCAGTCACCAAAAAAGGCTTAAGCATAGCATTTGCCCACTGGCTTCTCTTATTCTATGAACAGGAGAGTCCTCCTTGGTGAGAATGGCAAAAAACAGGAGATCAGCTATGAATGAATGAATGAATGAATGAATGAATGAATGAATGAATGTTGGACAGGCTCTCTTAACATCACAGTCTCACTTTGCTCTGAGATTTCTAAAAAGAGAAGGTGTGAGAGGAACAGTATAAAATGAAAAAAAGAAAGAAAGAAAGAAAGGAAAGAAAAAAAGAAAGAAAGAAAGAAAGAAAGAAAGAAAGAAAGAAAGAAAGAAAGAAAGAAAGAGACAGCAAGAGAAATGACACCGAGAATTACCTTTTCTATCTTTTTTATACCTTAGTTCAATGATGGCAAACCTTTCTGGCATCGAGTGCCTAAAGTGGAATGTGCATGCATGCATGTGCATGTGTACATGCCGAAGCACTGGAAACCCGAAAACCAGCTGGCTGGCGCACGCATGTCTTTTTTGGGCTGTTTTTCAGGCCGTTTTCAAGCCGGTTTTTTGGCCGTTTTCAAGTCATTTTTTGGCCTGAAAAATGGCCTGAAAAGAAGCCCCCAAAACGGCCTGAAACAGGCCTGAAAACGGCCTGAAAAATGGACTGTTTTTTGGCCATTTTTTTGGCCGTTTTCCGCCGCTCCCGCACTCGCGAAGACCAGCTGGCCAGCGCGCATCAGAAACCAGAAGAACAGCTGGCGACAGCACATGTGCCCACAGAGAGGGCTTTGTGTGCTACTTCTGGCACGCGTGCCATAGGTCTGTCATTACGGCCTTAGTTCCTCTGCTACTTAATAAGCTATTTCATTGTTTTAAAATAGCTTTGTAACATGCCAACCACGTTGCGGGTGTTGTATATGGCCTTTTGATGCTCTCCCAGATCATACCACTTTTCAACAAGGCCATTTTTTCCCCCTTGGAAGTGAAAAATGTTAAATTGTCAAACAGCTGTGAGGCCTCACCTGGCTATTTCATACATCAAAACATCCCCTGAGTGTTCTAAAAAGCAGAAACAAACCGTGGACTACAAGTTTTGGGTTGGCCCTCCTCTAGCACTAAGGAGACATTTCCTGACAGAACAATTAACCAGTGGAACGGCTTGCCACCAGAAGTTGTGAGTGCTCCATCACTGGAGGTTTTTAAGAAGAGATTGGACAGCCATTTGGTTTTGCAGAAAAAGCCTTCAAAATTCTTTGTAATTTAAAAAGGAAGATATCAAATTGGCCACAGATAAATCCAAGGCACGAGAGTTTGAAAATCGGATCAAAACAGTTGGAAAATGAGAACAAAAAAACCCCTCAACTTTCAAAGCTCCAGAAGAAATGTGTGACTTTGTTTTAAAGTGTTTTCCTGAGTGCTGTTTAGCTTGAGGGAAAACTATAGTGATTTTGGATAGTTCCCTTGGCACTCAGTAGGCTTCCTACTCATCCTTACCTAATTACTACTACTATCATTATCATAAATTATTTTAACTTAAAAAGGAAATGAGAAGCTTGCCTCTCACAAAATGAGGAGTCAGGCCTCAAGCAATATCTTCATTTATATATTAAAAAGTCTCCAAATTCCATAGGCAGATTCAGTAACTAAAAAAACCAGAGTGGTCTGGTAGAGAATTGCCCAGAAAATGAAAAGAAAAAGAAGATAAAATGAAAAGAAAAAGAAGTTGGGGAGATAATAAGCATTCTAGGGTATCAGAGAAGGCCTTGGTGACTGATTAAGCCCATCCCAGCTGCCATTTTGTAAACTCCCATGACGGCCATTTGAGGAGAACATCCTAACAGGCTTTCAACATCCAAAATACACACACTAGTTGATGGTCTGGTCAAGCTTTGCGTGCTAAATGCCACTGAAGGCATTGCTGAGAATAGCAGTCAGCAAGTTACCTATTGTCCATCATGGATGTGTAGACAGCTTGAGGGTTAGTTGAAAAAAAAGCCAGTAACTCTTCCTCCAAGCCTTCCAGGGTTTCCTGTAAAAAACAACAAGAAGCTGAATCTTCCAATCTACAACAGGGAAAATCTACATCAGTCTACAATCTACCTGTACAGGTTAGAATCAGAGGTTTATATGCCAAGCAGGATGGTAGTTTACTTACTTTGTAAACAAACTAGGCTTTGAAATGAGCCCTAAATACAAGTAGTCCTTGATTTACAACCACAATTGAACCTGGAATTACGTTTGGCACAGCTTAAGTGGGTCACCATATGAACACTGCCAATTTTATTTTTTATAGCAGTCCTTAAGTGAATCGATCGTTAAGTGAATTCATTGTCTGCAATGAATGTTTTTGCTGGAAACTGAAAGTAAAGACCGGTTTCCTGCAAAGAACTTAAATCATGGTCATATGACCCTGGGATGCTATGATAGGCCATAAATGGAGGCTAGCTGCTAGGCCCCCAAAATGCGTTCATGTGACTGTGGGGTGGCAGCTGTTGGAACTTTGAATCCAGGACAAAAGTAGCCTGTTGTAACTTTAACAATCACTAACAACCAGTCATAAACTGAGGACTCTCTGCATAAACCATTTCTGCTGTTGCCGATAGAACGTACCATGGGAATCCGACTTCGTTTCAGGGTGGTTCGTAAGCGTCGGCTGATGCGCTGAAAACAGTCTTTGGGTGTGAACGGAAGATGCTCTGTAACAAGAGGGAAGAAAAGAGACAGAAAAAAAATGTAACCAAAAATGCACCAAATAATCCTGGAAGAATATCTCATTCCTCTGGGGCAAAGCCAATACATTTTGGAAGCCTACAAGTTCTAAGCGTTGAGTTGATTTTCACAGGTAGACTGGTCTTGGATATGGGTGTTCCATTCATAAAGAGCCGTAGTGGCGCGGTGGTTAGAATGAAGTACCTCAGGCTACTCTGCATTCCCAGGAGTTTGATCCTGGTTGGCTAAGGTTGACTCAACCTTCCAACCTTCCAATGTGGGTAAAATGAAGATCCAGATTGTTGGGGGCAATATTCTGACTCTGTCAATCGCTTAAGAGAGGACTGTAAAGCATTATGGTATATAAGTCTATGTGCTATTGCTATTATTAACTAGCAAGACCAAAAACCTTCTCTTCCTCCTGTTCAAACTCCCTGATTTATGTCCGGTGCTTTAAACCAGGGGTCTCCAACTTTGGCAACTTTAAGACTTGTGGGAGTTGAAATCCACAAGTCTTAAAGTTGCCAAGGTTGGAGTCCCCTGGTTTAAACTATACTGAAGAAGTCTATACAGAGACTTCTTTTTGCCCATAATGTCCTTTTTGCCCATAATGTCTTTTCCGTACCTTTCCAGTTGACCACAGCTTTATCAGGCAATTTGTTTTTCGGTTTTTTTGAAGCCTCCTCTTCTAAATACAGAAGGACTCGCTCTTGTTCCTCCCCGGACCGGTTCATGAAATCATTCCAGATCTTAGGGACATAATAAATACAAATTATAAACCCATTTCCAATGCCTCTCCTTTGCCATATGCAGTAATCAAAGCAAATTTACCTCTGGATCAGAGAGGGCTGCATGCATCAACCACTTAATTGATGGATCCAGCAAGGAATGCTTTTTACCTTATTAACTTAATGAAGAGGATGGGATGTTTTCGTTTCAAAGGGAAATTTTTTAAAAGACTCTATTTATTACATGCGTTTACTAACTCACAGCTGACTAAGCACCATAAATACATCCAAACTAATATACTGTATACCATGTAAAGCCCAAAGTAGGTTCTCTGTTCTGATTTATTAAGTTTTATGTCTTGATGTGTTATATAAACTTAGCTGATTTGGTCAATAGACCAAGTTTGAAGAAATCCTTGTTTAGCATTATATATATATCGAGAATTACAGTGATATTTTGAGAGAGGGGGAGTTTCTTAGGCTTTGCCATCATATAGCTTCTCCTTTGATAAAAGACACCCAATTCCAGACTGCTCTTCTCTTTGTTGAGTTTATTTGAAATTTGCGCAAGCTAGAAAAAATATGCAGGTGATGAAGTATTTTACCTAGCCCTGAAGGATTGTATCGCTTTTCTGATATTTATTATTATAAATGGAATGGAATGGAATGGAATGGAATGGAATAGAATGGAATGGAATGGAATGGAATGGAATAGAATAGAATAGAATAGAATAGAATAGAATAGAATAGAATAGAATAGAATAGAATAGAATAGAATTCTTTATTGGCCAAGTGTAATTGAACAATAAGGAATTTGTCTTCTGTGCATAAGCTCACATTGTAAATAAAAGCTATAATTGATAAATCATGATCATAGTCATCATAAAAATACATTCATCATAAATCATAAGATACAACTCTTTGTGATAGAATCAACATAAATTGTACTAGGAAACTAAATAAAACAATATAAATCGTAAAGATACAAGCAACAAAGTTATAGTCATACATAGAAAAGGAGATAGGTAATAGGAAAGATGAGAAGAATAATATTAATACAGTCTTACTAAATAGTTTGACAGTATTGTGGAAATTAGTTGTTTAGCAGAGTGATGGCATGGGGGAAAAACTGTCCTTGTATATTTACTGTATATTCTGTGTTTTCTCTAGATACAAAGGCAGTGAAGACAGTACTCATAGTACTGGATCCAGTAAAGGTTCCCATTGCACATATGTGCTAGTCATTCCCGACTCTAGGGGGCATTGCTCATCTCCGTTTCAAAGCCGAAGAGCCAGCGCTGTCGTCTCCGTGGTCATGTGGCTGGCATGACTAAGCGCCAAAGGCTCATGGAACGCTATTACCTTCCCAGCAAAGGTGCTAGGTTGGCAGAAGCTGGGACAAGTAACAGGAGCTCACCCCCATTACGCGGCACTATGGATTTGAACCGTTGAACTGCCGACCTTTCGATCGACAAACTCAGCATCTTAGCCACTAAGCCACCGTGTCCCTGGATCCAGTTCTACCTGCCCTAAAATGGAAGAAGGATGTTGTGGAACTAGAAGTAACAAAGAGGGTGAGACTGTTGAGGGCTAAATCCTATGGACAGATTTCGACAAAACATAAAATGTGGTCACGCAAATGGCTGTAAATGAGGGATGGTAGCTGAGTGTCCGAAATGATTGTGATTGGGGCGGGATTGGCAGCTGACATAACTTTGGAACAGAGTCATAAGTATCTCTAGGGCGATCCATCGTAACTTTGAACAGTTGCTAAGTGACTGGTCATAAGTTGTTGATTACCTGTACTTGAAGGGCTGTGGCAGGGAAGAGGATGGGGGTTCATTCTCTATAACCTCTAAGGGTAGGAGAAGAATTAACAAGTGGAGATTTCAAAAAAAGGGAGATCCAAACTCAAACTAAGGAGGAATCTCTTGTTCGTGAGGTCTATTAGGCAGTAGAACAAGCCTGCTCCTGGACTCATGGGGATGCCATTACTGGAGGTCTTCAAGCAAAGGTCGGACTGCCTTTTGGCTGGAGGGTTTGAGGATTCCTGGGCCAGACTAAAAGACCTTCAACTTCCATTCCAACCCTATGATTCTTTCAGTTTTATTTCACAACAACTCTGTGAGAAACTCCACTGGATAACATTGGGTTGGGAGAGAATACAGTAGCTGCAACCACTTCACCCTGCTGGGAGTCGAACATCGTAATTGCTACACCACTCTGCCTCTCTGACTGAGTCATGATTTTTCAGCTTTGTTCCTCAATGACTCAGCAGGGAGTGTCATTTTTCTTACATCATCTTCCAAATCACAACCTTGTTGCCAGTTGTCTAATGCCCAGGTTTACACAGACCCTTTGTTTCCATGGCACTTTAAAAAAACCTAACACCACCCATGTACCGCACAGTAAGAATGCCTGAAGTGTGACTAAGCAACACTTTATCCTGTAATATTCCATTATCTTTCTCCACACAACACTCCCTTCCACCGTGCTCATTCCTCACACGTTACATCACCAAGTTGTGAGGGCACCACTTCAGGACATCCAGCACAAAGTGCCCTCCTGTATAACACCCCTTTTTTAATTTAAAAGTTAATTTAAAAAAAAAAAACTATCAGGGATTGATTTCTAGAGGCCTGCCACTCAATTCTTCTTTGAGGAACAGAAATCAAAACTAGCTAATTATTCCAGCCTTCCCCCAACCAGGTGCCTTCCAGATGGATTTCAATTTCTGCTTTTGCCAGACATTATGGCCAGACTTTGGCTGGCGAAAGGCGGCAGAACCCAGAGCAGAAAAATCCAGAGCTCTGCTGTCACAGAGAAGAGGGGATTTGACTTATTCTCCAAAGCACCAGAGGGCAGGACAGGAAGTAAAGGATGGAAAATACTTTTTTTAAAAAAAAACCCAACCTAGAAGTAAGGAGTAATTTTCTGGCAGTTAGAACAATTAAATCAGTGGAATAGCTTGCCTCCCAAAGTTGTGACTGCTCCCTCACTGAAGGTTTTCAAATACAGACTGAGCATCCATTTCACTGGGATGATATCAGGTCTCGGGTTGGACTAGAACAGGGGTCTCCAACCTTGGCAACTTTAAGACTTGTGGATTTCAACTCCTAGAATTCCTCAGCCAGCAAAGCTCTGGGAGTTGAAGTCCACAAGTCTTAAAGCTGCCAAGGTTGGAGACCCCCGGACTAAAAGATCAGCAAGTCCCTTTCAGCTCTGTGATTCTATGTTCTATCTTGCTTTCAGTGAAAGAGGAAATGGTAGAGTTCCACAGCCAATACAGCCTTTTCTTTATTGTATGCAGCTTTTTCTCCTGTTAGGGGGAAACATTAATTTGGGGAGCAAAACTGGGTATAATCCATTCCAAATCTCCCTTTATCCCCAACTGCTGACCTCTCGCAGCACAGTTACAGTGGGCAGAATCTTCTCCATGTGAGCATGGACTCACCCATAAACTCTAATCCTTTGTAAATAAAGACATGATTCGACATGCAATAATACTGTCACATTTTCATCTTATTTTATTCTCGTACCATCACTTTGGGAGCAGGTTCCTTATGTTTCCTGACTTAAATCCTCACCTGAAGGCTATGTTTCAACCTCTACCACATCGCCATCCAATGTCGTCACTTGAGGACAGAAAATGCAAATCTGGCCTTGGAGGGAGATGCTGTTTCCAAGGAAGAGGAATCAGCTAAAGAAAAAAAATATAGAGAGCCCCTACCTTCATATAAGTCTCATTGCTGCAGGCCTGGGTAAAAATGCTGGGTGGGGCAGGATGGGCAAGATCTCCATCTTCACTGGCGCAGTCATCCCGCTCAAGGAGGGTCATTAGGTATCGTGCTAGAAATGCACAGAATTAATAATGAAATACGCTGACGACACCCAGCTGTACATCTCCACCCCGGATCACCCCAACGATGCCCTTGAAGTGATGTCCCGGTGCCTGGAGGCCGTACGGATCTGGATGGGGAGGAACAGGCTCAGGCTCAACCCATCCAAGACTGAGTGGCTGTGGTTTCCGACGTCCCGATATAGTCAGTTGACGCCATCACTGACTATTGGGGGCGAATCATTGGCCCCCACGGAGAGGGCTCGCAACTTGGGCGTCCTCCTGGACTCACGGCTGTCTTTAGAAGAGCACTTGACGGCCATGACCGGGAGGATTTTTCATCAGGTTCGCCTGATTCGCCAGTTGCGTCCCTTTCTGGATCGGGACTCTTTACGCACGGTCACTCATGCCCTTGTCACCTCCCGCCTGGACTATTGCAACGCTCTCTACATGGGGCTCCCCTTGAGGAGCACCCGGAGGCTCCAACTGGCGCAGAGTGCGGCCGCGCGGGTGGTAATGGGAGCGACATGGCGTTCCCATGTAACACCTCTCCTGCGCGAGCTGCACTGGCTCCCGGTGGTCTTCCGGGTGCGCTTCAAGGTTTTGGTTACCACCTTTAAAGCGCTCCATGGCTTAGGACCCGGGTACTTGCGGGACCGCCTACTACCACCAATAGCCTCCCACCGGCCGGTACGCTCCCATAGAGAGGGGCTCCTCCGGGTGCCGTCAGCCAAACAATGCCGACTGGCGGCCCCCAGGGGGAGAGCCTTCTCTGTGGGGGCACCTACTATCTGGAACGAGCTCCCCCCAGAGATACAGAGGATCCCGGATCTGCGCACCTTCCGCCGCGCCTTAAAGACCTTACTATTTCACCAGGCCGGCCTGGCCTAATTTTCCCCCTCTTTTATAAAAGATTTTTAAAATTTTAAATATTTTTTAGTATTTATATATTCAATTTTAAATTGGTTTTAAAAGTTTGGGGTTTTAAATTTGTCGGGGCCAAAATTATTTAATTTGATTTTATTCTATTTTTTAAATTTTGTATTGTATGTGTTTTTATTGTTTGGCTGTGCACCGCCCTGAGTCCTTCGGGAGTAGGGCGGTATAGAAATCTAATAAATAAAAATAAATAAAAAAATAAAAAAATATGAAACTTCATGCATGTACCTTAATACAAATAATCCTGAACTTAAAGGTAAAAGGTAAAGGTTCCCCTTGCACATATGTGCTAGTCATTCCCGACTCTAGGGGACGGTGCTCATCTCCGTTTCAAAGCTGAAGAGCCAGCGCTGTCAGAAGACGTCTCCGTGGTCATGTGGCCGGCATGACTAAATGCCAAAGGCACACGGAACACTGTTACCTTCCCATCAAAGGTGGTCCCTATTTTTCTACTTGTATTTTTTACAGGCTTTCGAACTGCTAGGTTGGCAGAAGCTGGGACAAATAATGGGAGCTCACCCCATTACGTGGCACTAGCTCATGTGTGCGCGCTTGCGCGCGATGCTTCTGCACATGTGCAGAAGCATCCGGGTGGGTGGGCGGAGCCTCTCACTACCACCGTTACTAGTTCACCCAATCTGGGGCGAACCGGTAACAACCCACCACTGATCATGTGATCAAAATTCCAATGCTTGATAACTGGTTCATCACGACTGTTGCAGCATTCTGACTAGCAAAGTCAACGGGGAAGCCAGATTCATTTAACCAGGTTACTAACTTATCAACTGCGGTGATTCACTAAACAAATGTGGCAAGATATGTTGTAAAATGGGGCAAAACCAACCGATTCTTACTGAACACATAAATTTTGGGCTCAATTGTGGTCGTAAGTCGAGAACCTTTTAGGGACATCAGTAGGCAGCATGGCACATTCAATCGCATGCTGCCAGCACTGTTTTAACTACAGGTAATCCTTCACTTAAAACCACAATTGGGACCAGAATTTGTGTTGCTAAGCAAGGCAGTTGTTAAGTGAATCACATCTGATTTTATGGCCTTTTTTTGCTATGGTTGTTAAGCAAATCACTAGAGTTGTTAAATGAATCATTAATGAACTCATGAAATCTGAGTTCTTCCACTGACTGGAAGCTGCTGGGAAGGTCTCAAATGGCAACCATTGTAAATACTTGCCAATTCCCAAATGTCCAGATTTTGATCGCATGACTTTGGGGGATGCTGTGAAGCTTGCAAGTGCAAGAACCATAATTCACTTTTTTTGTTGCCACTTTGAACAGCTGCTGAACAAATAGTTGTAAGCTGAGGACTACCTGTACTCATTAGTTTCCTGCCTCCCTTTTTGTAGAGAAATTTAAGACTGCTCACACAGTGCTCTTTTTCTATTTTTCCAGTCAGAATTTTTACTATCGGTTCTCCGAATTAGTCAAAATTTCTGCTACCAGTTCTCCAGAACTGGTCAGAACCTGCTGAAACCCACTTCTGTTCTCCATGATCAATTCCTCAATGCCTCAGGTAGCACCAAGCCAGATTGGCCTTAACAGTTACCTGTTTGGGACTATTCAGGCATAGAATCATAGGGATGGAAGTCACCTTAGAGGTCCAATGCCTCATTCTCATACCATTGCAAGCAAATGGCTGTCCATCCTTTATATTTCAATATAAAAATAAGGGAACAGCTAGTCCCAACTAGTCTGGAAGATAATGGCCTTGATTGGCCTGAACTGAAGAGCTATTCACCAGTCATCAATTATCCAAAATTGGGTAAAAGTGGTTTTTCGTTGAGTAATGGCACACAAACTCAGTCATTACCCATCACAACAGGGACTTAAACATTGCCTTGCGGACTAAAATATATTTGAAAGCCTGCCAAAGTACTCCTCCTAAAATGGAAATTGCTGAAATTACCAATGGAAATTTGTTGAAATGACTGTCAGGGTTCCAAGTAACACCCCCAACGAAAGAAAAGTGACAATGGCCTGATAATGAGATAAAGATCATTCAATGATACTGTTTTCAGAACATAGATAGTCCTCGAATTACGACCATTCATTCAGCAACTATCAGACATTATGACAGTACTGAAGGGAAGGACATTACTACCTGTCCTCAAAGTTCAATAAGATTTTTTGATAAAAGCAGTTTTGGGTAATGAAGGAAAAAGTTTGGAAAGGTCTGAGCTACTTTTATCACTGAACAGTTCTAAAAGTGCTGGGGCCCAAACGATCAGAATCCTCTAGCCAGAGTAATTGTGGTTGATATAAGTTAATAGTTCAAACCTTTGAAACACATTGAGTTGGAAAAGGCTGCTCTGGACTTTGATCAATTTAATACGTAATCAAGAGGTAACGGCTAGCTACCCAAGAGTTTCTAAGCCTGCCTACCAACCACTTACTGTTCTCCAGGCGCTGGAGGCTCTTCTTCCCTTTAGCCTTGGGAATGAGGTCCGAGTTGCGGATGGCTTTGTTGATGTAATATTGCTTCCGTTTGGCTGGAGAAAACCTCTTGGCGGAAGGGGTGGCCAGAGGGGGCAAGCAATCTTCAATCCTTCTGCAAAAGATAAAATTATACACACACCCCAAATCAAAGGTTTAACTCTTTATAGACTCTTTATCTTCTCTTTTTTTTTTGCAAATGCTTCAAGGGCCAGCACAGCTAACTGCAAAATAAATAAATAAATAAAAAATCCCAGTTGGACCTAAGCAATTTTCATCAATGGCCAGGAAAAACAAGAGAAGCTGTAGGACTCTCCTGCCGTTCTCCTACCATATAGTTTTTAGAGGAAGGCTGCTCTTAAGCGTGGAGGATCTATTGAGATGTTACGAACAATGCTTATATCTACACACATTTTCTATGCCTATATTTTTATTTTGCAATTGCTGGATTCTTCCAAAGGATAACAATGAACTAGCCATAGCCATAGCACTTAAGACTTATACACTGCTTTACAGCCCTTTCTAAGCGGTTTACAGAGTCAGCCTATTGCCCCCAACAATTTGGGTCCTCATTTTACCCACCTCAGAAGAATGGAAGGCTGAGTCAACCTTAAGACTGGTGAGATTTGAACTGCCAAATTGCAGGCAGCTGGTGATCAGCAGAAATAGCCTGTAGTACTGCACTCTAATCACTGCCCCACCCTGGCTCAATCTTTCCTATGTACTGGCAATTCAATCAATCCCAGAGCTACAAAAGATGGCCCAGGCTATTGTATGAAGTCTAGTTATACAGGTAGTCCTCAACTTTCAACCACAACTGACTTCAAAATGTCTGTGGCTAAGCAAGACATTTGTTAAGTGAGTTTTGCCCCATTTTATGCCCTTTCTTACTATAGCCGTTAAGTGAATCACTGCAATTGTTTAAATTAGTAACACAGTTAAGTAAACCTGGCTTTCACATTGATTTTGTTGTAACTTTGAGGGGTCACTAAACAAATGGTTCTAAGTTTGAGGACTACCTGTACTTGGTTGAGGGACCTGCAGCGAGTCTTAGAGCTGTAGAAAAGCTTGGGAAGTCCCACATAAAGGCAGTGCAAGGTATTTCCATTTGGCAGTCCTAAAAAATACATAGGCTCATTCATCCCATCCCTCAGATGTGAGTTCAATATATGGTGACTTTGTGTCTACTTTTATCAAAGAAAAATCTGGCTGATGGAATTAATCTTCCAAACGAATATACACAAAAGAAAAAAAAATCCTGCAGCAATACCGCACAAATCCATTTCCCCTCACTTAATTTTCCATTACGATTTATCATCTTCCAGAAGAGTGAAGCCTCATGGCAGATTGGAATGAAGCTAAAAAAATGTTCAATTATTTTCCTCTTCACAGTATCCGATTTCAGCATTTCCTATTTTCTCAAAAGAATTTTGCAGATTTCCAGGACAAGAAATCTTTTTGGCTGGGGTTGCTGAAGAGATCTAAAAAAAAAAATAACTTTATCCTTTCCCATTGCAGGTAGTTTTCCACTTACAACCATTCGTTTAGTGACTGCTTGAATTTACAATGGCACTGAAAAAAGTGGCTTATAAACCTTTTTTTTTACAGTTATGACCGCTGCAGGATGCCCATGGTTATGTGATCAAAATTTTTGACGCTTGGCAATTGGCTTGTATTTATGATGGTTGCAGTTCCATCAAATGCAGGGTCGTCTGATTACTTTCTGTGACCTTCAGGCAAGCAAAATCAATGGGGAAGCCAAATCACAACCATGTTAACTTAACAACTGCGGTATTTCACTTAACAACTGTGGCAAGAAAGGTTGTGAAATGAGACAAAACTCACTTAGTTAAATCTTGCTTAGCAACAGAACTTTCAGGCTCAACTGTGGTCATAAATTACAAACTACCTGTAGAGTTTAGTCATTCTGCCTGTTTGCTTAACAAGAGGAATACTAGTATTAACTTTTTTTAAGAATCTGGGTCAGTGCAAGCCACCTGCTTCTTCAATAGTCAAACTACAAGAAAACATTTTGTTAATGTGGCAATCTGATCACTCTGGAGAGGAAGCACTGAGGAAAGTTGTGGGTTTTATTTTTGAGTCAACAGGCATCAAGTTACATTGGTTCATTGTTTTCTATAGTATATGCAATGAAGCCTTACATTTTGCAATAATGTCCTTCTTTAAAATTAGATTGGCTCCCACCAACCAGGTTTTCTTTGGGAGGGGGTAGTGGGACGGACAGAGGCTCTAAAGATGCGGATTGGGTTTGCGGGAATAGAAGCCTGAGGGTTTATTAAAATCAACGATGTAGTTATAATTTGCCGACATTGGTTTGATTCCTGGGCTGTTTTTGTTTTATATTATGTTTTTTCATTGTTTTTAAATGTTGGAAGCTGCTCAGAGTTTCTATTGTGAGATGAGTGGCTATATAAATCATATACATAAATAACTATAAGCCGCCCAGTTACCCTATGTTAAGATGGGTGTCCAGTAAATTTATTAGTAAAAAAATAAAGTTTCCAATGAATAATGATGGGGAATATTCCCCATAAAATGGATAAAGGAGGAAAATAATAAGGACTACGACCAAAATTAATACATTGTATTAGTCTACAATACCCATCATTCTCAGGAAGTTTGCATCATAGGTAGGTAGAAAGAGTTTCATCTGATGGCTGACCATTTCCTCAATCTTTGAATAAAAATAAGGGTGGAAAAAGGTTTAAAGAGTGAAAAGTTAGAATGCCATCAGATTATGGATAGGAAATAATGCAATGCTTTTTTTTTTCTTGTACTAAAACACTATACGTTATTACTTACATAAAATAAAATAACAGATTTCCTTTTTCAGCAGACCTCTTCAGACAACTGACATAAAGCACTAAAGCGAGGCATAAAGCACTAATACCGTCAAAGATGGTAGACGGATGTCCCAAGGGCAGGTTGACAAAAGGGCCAGCAATGTGTGTAATGGGGCCAAGGGATTTGTGAGAGTCATTTAAGGCTCTCAATAAAACAGACCTGAATAAGGAGGGGCTTTGTTAAAAATGAAACCTCCAGGTTAGGAGGAAAAACACATCACCCCAAACAAGGCGACAAGGGTGACTGACAGCTGTTGCCTTCCCAACCTTCAAGGTCCTGGATGGGCTGGATTTTTACAATCAGATCCTACCCCACTCGACTTCAGAGCCGTCTGCGTTATTAAAGCACAAAAGCCTCCAGATGACAAGGCAGTCTATCAGAGGGGAAGGGGCTCAGATCCTTTCCCTGGACCTGAATCCAATGCAAGGAAGGGGACACACAAAGACAATTGTGGAGCCTCCAGCCTTCCTCCTACTCACCCGTAGGGCTGGTCCAGGGGGACTCCAGGCAGCTGCTCCTCCTGGCTCCCCCTCAGCCCTCCAGCCGCTCCCCTTTTCAGCCCCACCATCGCTGCCCGGACTGCTCAACACCCCCCTCCCTCCACCCTCCACCGCCTTCCCTCTTTCTCCGTTCCTCGAACGCCCGAAGGACGGGACAGACCCGGCCTAGGAGCCTCCCTAGCAGGAAGTGACGTCAGCCCGGGGTGGGGAGGCAGGGCTGGATTTAACCTGGGCCCTTGCAAGCCAGTTGTCCCCGTCGTGGTTGGTGTCCTCCTTTTTTTGGGATGTGGCTTGCCTGCCTGCATGAGGAACTAGTGACGTGAGAACAGTGTTACCTCGCGTGCAGGCAGTGCAATGCAGACGTTAACCCTGCACACGAGTTACGAGTTGAAATCCGGGCATCTTAAAAAGTTGTTCCCAAAGGTGCTTTTTTTTCAGGAGGCAACTGGACTTTGAAGGGACCTTGGAGGTCGTCTAGTCCAACCCCCTGCTCACGCAGGAGACCTGTACTAGGGGATTCGAACCGCCGACCTTTCTGATCGACAAGCTCAGTGTCTTAACCAATGAGCCACCTAGCCAGGTGGGGAATCTTTCCGTTCCCCACCAACCTGTCAGTGTCTCTATGGAGATTTTCAGTCATCCAGGTCACAGTTGTCCTAAAGGTGTTTTTTTTTTTTTTCCCCAAGAGGCAACTGGACTTTCTGGTTTTTCTTTGAAGGCGTTTCGCTTCTCTTCCAAGAAGCTTCTTCGGCTCTGACTGGATGGTGGGGAATGGAAGGATTTATACTCCTTGATTCTTTCTTTCATTGAGGAGTTGGAGCTGTGCTTTCTGCAGGATGTTTTCTTTATACAAGGAGTTGAAGTCCACAAGTCTTAAAACTGCCCAAGTTTGGAGACCCCTGTTATAGATCTTCTCCCTACCACCATGATCCTGGAGGGAATACCCATTCCATAATGCCTAGAGCGGGATGGACTCCATCACCCATGATTCCCAGCCAAAATATGGAACTTGGGAGTGATGGGAAGTGTGATTATTGACGAATGTATCTTGGCTTTTTATGTACACTGAGAGCATATGCACCAAAGACAAATTCCTTGTGTGTCCAATCACACTTGGCCAATAAAGTGTTCTATTCTATTCTATTCTATTCTATTCTATTCCTATCCTAATTCTATTCTA